GACAATAAATTTTAGGTGAATAAGACCTAGGCAGCTGAATGTGGTGTGGTTTCATCTGCTAAGCCAAGTGCCAATACTTATGCAAAATTTTACACGGTATGTGACTTTACACTCATGAAAAATGTGGCCTATGCTTTTACTAAGTACCAAATATCACCGTGGTTTGTGCACTTTCCTGTAGGTTTTTCCTGTATTATTACAAAACAAATTGAGGTAGAAGATTATTTTGAATTGAGTTGATAAACTGTTGTAGGTAGACTTGTATTCAACCTTGTCTTTAAATTTTATTTGGCTATGTCAAGTACTGAGAACAATGCAAATAATTTTTAAGGATTTGAATTTTTAAGAAAATAAGAAAAATTTTTTATCTTTCTCTTCGATGTTGAAGTTTCATGGAAAAGTTAGTTGGACTCTCAGGAGCCTTCAGGCCCTTTTGTATCTACACTATTTTGGAAAGTGAGACTGCCTCTGCTTTACTAAATAGGGAGACATAATGATGTCATGGAGATTTGCAGGGCGGGTGGTTGGTATGTAGAGTAACTAAGTAGACATGATTCTACAGATAAAGATTTTCTAATTAATATTTAAATAAACCACTCTAACAGAACTTTTGTGGGCTTAATATGGCTTCCATGCTAGAACAGGAATGTGTTTGCTCCTCACGTTATATTAGACTTGATACTGATTGTCATGTAATTGCTAAATTGCGTTATTTCTGGGAATTCATACTGATGTGATAGTATCTTTGCATTACATAACTTACAGATTGTTCATTCTGTGTTCATCCTTCTTTTCATGGCATTCTTCTGCTTTATTTTGAGGTTTTTTATTTTGCCATTGGCAGACCCTTGTGGGTTTACCCAAGTAGAGTGCTAGACTATTTTGAGGACATGAAGCAATAGAACTATAGATACATTCTCTTTTTTCTTACACATTACTTAGAAGTTTTTCAAGTCTTGTTTTTTAATTTTGGGGTAAAAGAGAAAGGTTAATAATTTGCTGTACTATATATATTAGAAAAAAATATATTATTCAAAATCTTTTACAAAGAAAATTTAGTGAAGAACAAAATGAGCTACACTGGCAAAATAAACAGTAAGTGGAGAAAAAGCACTTGAGTTCCAAATGAAAGACTAATTGCAATAAATATTAATAGTCATGGGAACCAGGCAGTTCTCTGAAGTTCAATAAAAACTTAAAGTAAATTACGTGATTTTGGTACATCTTTCTCATCTAATGCCTCTGAAATTATTGATTCCTCTTCAAACTGAGAAATAGGAAACGTAAGTCAGTTCTGTTGTAAAAAATACAAAATAACAGTGTTTCCAAAAATTGTAATACAGTGATAAATATTGTGCACTCTGTTGTTTTCTTGTGGAAAAATTTTAATGATATGAAATCCAGTGTACAGTGTGAAACTAGAAACATTTTCTAAATATTTTACTGGGGAGGAATCTACCATAGGGGTCTAGAAAGGCTTCTGACTTTTTCTGATGACTTCTTAGAGTGTTTACTGTTCAGTTGCTACACAAGAAGAATGTCTGAATAAAGGAGAAGGTGTAAAGCTGCATAATACCTCTCTTGGATGGGGCCACAAAGTGTCCTCAAGCCATGAAGAACAAGAGAGTAAACCAGACAGATTGACTGAAATTGTCCCAACTTTAGCACCACCTCTGGGAATGTGTAAAGAAGGTTTTCTCTGTCAGAGTCAGGTAACAAGGTTTTTTCTATATGAGGATAGTAGTTTCTGAATACATGCAACATCTTTTGTTAGTCATTTAATACTCTTCTTGTGGGATAACAAAGTTTATGTTTAGATATTTATTTATCATTATCTGGTAGACAGCATATGCTAACAGAGAAGAAAATGTAAGTTAGAAACATGCTTCTACAGTGTAACAGCAATGAATACACAGCAAAAACAATAAACATTTTAAAGCAGACTTTTTTTAATTAGTTTAATGCTTTTTATTTAGTTCTTACAGCTGAACTCACAGAAACATTAATATTTGAAATATCTGTATCACTTGGTATTTTATGATCTTCATGGGAATGGTACTGCTGAAGATAATCAGCTGCTTTGTGAAAGTGGGGGCCAGGAAAGAATAATGATTTTCCAAAGGATGGAGAGATCTCACATAGAAAAGACCCAAGATAGAGATGGGGCAGGAGGGAAGATGATGAGAGACTAGGGAAAGGGGAAAGATGAGCATGGGCCAGAGTTGGTAGTCCATTCTTGGTCAGCTTCTGTTCTTGGGGTGTTTTAGTAATTGAAGAGAAGAACTCTCAGAGGGAAAAAAAGCTTTCTAAAATTGAGTTAGGATTATTGATATGCTTAATAATTTAGTGGTGGGAAAAGTTTCATTGTAGTATTACAGATTTTTATGTGTGGTTTTGAAAGTTATGAAATTATGCAAAAACCAAATTAAAAAAAATAACTTCAAATTATAGAAGTATATGGGTTTTTTGTCTAGTATTCTTGCTTAGGTCTTAAGTCATAGCACTCACACAACTTGCTATCAGGAACCAGTCTTCTCCAAAAAAATTTAGACTGCTTCAGTGTATCATTAGAGGGACAGCATAAGCTAATGATACGCTCTTTTTGAAATACTGTCTAACTTTCTGTTTGGATTATATATGCAGTGGATATCTTTACCTTAACACAAACGCCATAAATTGCTACTCAAGCCAGGCACACAGTCTTCAAAGTTGTGTACTTTTCATAGCTTCAAAAATACATAATTTGCAATTGTTCTTCATGGCATGTGTCTGATGGTTTTATATCATGGTCATAACTGATGGAAGATCATCTAAAACATAAAGACGGTGGTATCTTTCAAAGAAAGTAATTTATAAAATTGGGTAGTATTTCTCCTCTTCCACCTGCAGATTTCTTTTGCCCCAAAATGAAACTAACTAATTAGTTCAGTGCAAAGAAAGTAGTCTTTCTGGTAAGAAAATTTAAATGAAAACAACTCACCCTTCACTAAGGTAGCAGTCATGGTGACTCATTGAAGGAAGAAGTCCGAAAGTTTTCAAGTGCACCACAACTGCTGCCGGTCTAGTGGAAGAGATCTGCCTTTCAATTTGTGTAGGACAAAATTTGCTCAAGTGCTTTCTCTACTGTTAAAATATTTTCCTTTGTGTATATAATATGGATGATTTAGAAGAAGCTGTGTCAGCACTGATTTATACATTGACAGCTAAGGATAATAAGATACAGGCAAACATACAGCTCACCCTTTTACAGATTAACCTGCAGACTGCATTAGGCAAATTTGATGACATTAAAAGATTTTTCCAATTTGTCTGAAAACAATTTCTCTTTGTATTGTGTCAAGGCTAGCATTTCATGCCATTGTACTAATTTAAATAGGTTTGATAAATTGTTCAAGAGGTTAGAGAATTGTACTGTGTATATATTTTACCACTTTAAAATAAAAAGGCTATTAACTTAATTGTTAAATGAAATTCATTAGTAAAAATTGAAGGACCCTGAGAATGTAGGCTTATATTATTGTATTATATTCCAACACTGAAGCACTTGTGCTGTAACATTGCACCAAAATGATTAAAGATCATATCCAGGAAATGATTGCTTGCATTTAGCTTTCAGTACACAGAAACACAGACACTGTTACAATTAGGACAGTATTTTATTCCAGTGTAGTAGTAATTCAGATGAAAAATATGGATGGAACTAGAACTTTATAGAAGTTGGTATATTGCATTCGACAGTGGGTGTGATGATTTATTAATAAAGTAAAATGTTATCATAGATTCAGAAGAATCACATAAAATGCTTTAGTGAAAGCCTCATTAACACTGCTAGCTAATATATAATTGAAGACAGAAGGGCAGAGTTCATTTGTATTTTGTTAATTTTCTTGGTATTGTTCATGCACATTTACTCATATATATTTTTCTGACACTAAGAAGTTACAGACTTGGAGATCTTCTGCTTGTTTAAAGTGAGGTTGTATCATCTTTGCTTTGCAACTCATGCCCTGAAATGTGTAAGATGTGTGACAGTAGTTATAGCAAAAGCTTTTATCAGCAGAGAAACTTGGATTTTGTATTTGCATGGTAGTTAATTTCAGCAGACTTTTTTAATTGGGTTGTATGTACTGTATCAATGTTTTGAATTGAAAAGGTAGTAATATTCTTCAGAGAAATTAATGTAAATTTTTCATAACTTAATACTTAAAGATTAATAATGTATGGGGTGGATTGCTGAGTTTTATATCCAGAATTCAAGTGCTCCGTTAAAACATCCTACCTGCATATAATTACAGAGAGCAAAAAGTACGTAGAAAACCACATACTGAAGGTTACAGCAGAAACACTAGTTTCATTTGGAGCGGAATTACAGGATATAAGTAACCAAGTATGTTAATACCTTGGATACCACTATTTCTCAATATAGAAAATATTCTAGAAGGTAATTCTCCTAAATTCCTATCCAAATCCCCCTGCACCTCCCATCCAGTCCTGGTATGTGCACACACACACACACAGACCCCCAAAATGGGTGTCTCTCACAGGTCCCTGCCATGGCAGGAGGAATTAACATGCAGCTGGGCTGCTCTGATAAATGGATTCTGTTAGGTCACCGAGGGGATGTGTGTGACATTAAGTGATTTACTGTCCTTTACCTTAATGAAATTGTTTCAGCAAGATGACGCTGAGAGCTTTTAATGGATAGCTTTTCTTGATGTAATGAAATTGCATTCCTTTGGCATTTAATATAAGGTGCAGTTATTATTTACTGGAGCTTTCCCAGCACGGCTGTTTTGCACAGACAGTTCAGAACAAAAAGGGATTTCTGTGACAGCATCCAGGCCAGCATGCTGTGTGACAATCTCAAGCGTACGAGCATATTTGCAAGAGTGTTTCAGTGAGCATGGCCTAGCTCCGCTGGCCCTTCAGAAAGCTTGCTTTGCACCGAACGCTGCCAACGCTCATCTCCCTTACAAATGCCTTCCTAATCTGTTTAACAGGCAACTGGATTACAACCAGATCAGCTGTATTGAAGATGGGGCATTCAGGGCTTTGCGCGACCTGGAAGTGCTGTAAGTATTCCTTGTATCTCTTACTTGTAGCAAGAGCTCAGTATCTGGGGATTACTAATGTAAAAGCTTATCTAAGAGCTGCAGCCTGGTGTCAGGATGGTCTAGTGAAAAGATTTTCTAAAATAATCCACTAAGATGTGCTATAAAATAGTAAAAAGATGTGAAGAGGCAGAGATGCTTCTTTACTCTGCAAGACAGCCATTAAACACAGTTAAAAACAAACAAAATTAAAAAGCAGATGGCAGATACTGTAAGAAAAGAAAATACTTCCTTTTAAAATGGGGGGCAGTATTAATGAATCCAATCCATTTTGTAAATTATCCATCACTGTTGAATTGCTGAGCATTTTCATGATTGCCTTTGTTGTATACTATGACATCAATTTGATCTTTCAGACTCTGTTTAAGGAACAATATGCTTTATATTTGACAATCTGGATGTTTTCAAAGAGACACTTTTCTGTCAAACACTGTTACATGTTAAGATGTTTTGCATGTCCACATTAACTGCTTTTTTAATGTTTTAAATTTTATGTGTATAAATGTTTAGACGTATAGAAAAATAACATTTTTATGTCAGTGAAGGTTAATACTGCATTACTTTTTTGCATACTTTTTCTCACTGTCTTGAAGTGGCCATCAGTGAGGTTAAAGGTATCAAAATTATCATCAGTGACTCCTGACCTGAATATAGTTATTGTAATGAGCAGATTCTTTGGGAAATGAGGCACCAGACACATTCCTGAAATATTTACAGTGTCAGTCAAAACATCACATTTTTTTCTGGGCTTTCTACGTTAAGAGAAGTGAAAGACTTTGTGTATCATTGAGTTACTTCATGTTAATTTGAATCACACTTGGTAAATCACAACTTCGGGGGGGGGGGAAGTTGTTGTATATGTTTTTGTCATTTGATTTGGGTTTTTTAAGATTCTGAGGTAAAGAAAGTTCTCTAGCAATTTATAATGTCTGTATGTCCATGAAACTATTGAATATGTGAGCTGCTGGAGGTAAAGGTTTTTATTATTAAGCAATAGTTGGTCTTACTTATGAGTGAATGAGTCTAGCAGCTGAATTTGATTTCTTTTCTTTTTTTTTGAGTTTTTAATAACAATCCTGTTAGCTTTCTGATATGAAGCCATGTAAAATTTACTGTAGATTCAATAGTACACATAATAGTGAAGCTGATGAATTGTTGGTTTTCTGTCAGTAAACCTGATGTTCTGTAAGATTTTTATCTTTGGAACTCATATATATAACAGAATAACTTTTCCAGCGATAGTTTAATCTGGTTATTATGGTTTTTAATACAAACATTTACAAGTGGAAGTGTTAAATGTATATTGAAAAAAAAATATCAAATCTGCATCTTTTAATGCTTGCAATTTTTAGTGTTCTAAAAGGTCATCCTAGACAATTGAAGTCAGTGGTAAGATTTTCACATCTATTTCAATATATGCAAAAAGAGGAAAAACCTGTTAAAATAATAGGCTACTGAAAAAGTAGGTAGTTAGAATTGTACAAATAAATATGCATAGCATATTAGCATTGTTCAGATATACAACTAAATGTTCACTATATTGAATAAGCAATGATTTAAAGATTAAGGTTTTTTAAAAAATATATAGATATTTTGAACACTGCTGAAGATTTCGTGTCTAACTCAGTTTCCTTTCCAATTTGGTTTAAAGAATAAAAGACATGTAGATCAGGTCACACTGTATATGCACAGAGTAGCAAATGAGATCACAACTTTTGTTTTCATTTGGAATTAGTTATTCTATCTAAGCGCAGAACATGTATATTATTTCAAACTACAAGGATAGGAGAAAGCTTTTAAATAGGTTGTAACCCCGCGTAGTGACAGTTTGAATTGTTTACTAAAGTAAACAGGTCTTGTATATTGGTTAAATAATTGCAGAATCTTAGCTCTGTTAGTGTTAAAGATACAAAATCAACCTGAAATCTGGACAATTCTGAAATAAAAAAGCAATTATATGTATAACACTTCCTGTGAGTTTCTGTGCAATTTCATTTTTCCTTTTCCTCTTTCTTTTATTTGTTAAGAGAAAGTCTGCTTTAATGGGGAAACAGACTATGGGAAAAGATATGGTGCTATCAAATTAAAAAAAATAAAGTACCTCAGAAAGAAAAAAAATATTTCAGGCACTCCACTCTTTTACCTCAGTGTGTAACACGTAGGCAGAAGTATTGAGCCAACTTTTTTTAAATTATATCTCTGTAATGAAATCAAGTGTTTTCATCATTAGATAGAAATAGTTATGAAAATTATTTAATTCCTTTTGTATTCCTTTTGTCTACTTCTAATACTTTTCTGTACACTTGCAAAAATAAATTCATAGCTTGTGTGTACAGCGTAGCAAGGCAAACATCAAACATCTGAAACTGAAAATTAAAACATTGTAGATACACCTTCTTTGAACAGCTAACTGCTTTGGAAATATGTACTCATTTCCATTCCCTTTGTTGAAAAGACATGATTTTAAAACCTTATAAGAAGTTATGCAGAAGGAACTATGGGAGCTGTCACTTACCATGTGCATGTTGTAAGAAAATTATTAAGAAATTGTAAGAAAATTGTGCCAAGATTTACTGATTGTTGTTTATTCATTAAGATACTTCTTGTGGATATACCCACTTGGCTGGTTTTGGTTTCATTTTTGTTTTGTTTTGAAAAAGTGCATGATTCACTCTTTATCTTTTTCTTTCGACTATTCTCCTCTTTGTTTATGAAGCCCTAAGAGCACACAAGGGAGAATAAGTAGGACACAAAGGTAAAACATAGCACACTGCACCAGTAATTAACTGCTTGGTTAATGTGGAGGTATATAGCCTGAACCTGTTCAGTGCTGTGCATTTACCTTTCTGTGTACTTACAAATTTACTCAATTGAGCAGAAATTACACCTTGTGGATTTTGGTTGGTTTTGGGGTTTTTTTTTTAAGAGAGAAAGAAAAAAAGGAAAAAGTAAACCACTTCTTGGTTCAAAAGGGAAAAAAAGGTATGGTCAGTGGGAATTATTAGTGCCACAGTTACGTGTTTAAAATCCCAGAGCACATTCTCCATTCTGCTCAAATGAGTAAGCTATAAGTCAAAACTGTAAATTGTTTCCGTGTTCTGGAGTCAAGCTTGTTTGCATTTTATTTGCAGCCTAAATACAATATTTAACTACAGGATCATTCCTAAAGTGTCATCATCTGTATAAACTACGCTTAGCAAGTATGATGGTTCTGTGCTAGCCAACAATTGGCTAAGATTTGTTCCTAGTTCCTATCTCAAGTTCAGGCACCTTGTCTAAAATTCAAATTATTAGTTTGCTAAAGTATTGAAATTCCTAATTCTTTTCACCGTATAGCAGAAACCTCTCTGTGATCCAACTCTGGATCTATAGCAACTCTGTTCCATATAAAACCTAATTGCAGCCCAGTGTTAATCTTTTCCTGACATTCTTGAAAATATAGGATTTTACTTTGTCTTCTGACAAAAAAAATACAGGTTCTGCAGAACTAGAAAGAGAAGCCTGAGTCCTAGAATTAAGGCATTTTCTCCAGCAGCTCTACTTTTTACATCACAATGACAAGCTTAGTTTGAATGCCATAAATGTTCTCAACATTGGTGGAAGCTCAGTTTGAGTGAATCATAGATTACTGGGACCTCAAATTATTTAGGATTATTCATGGAATGGTCAAACCATAATGTTTTACCAGAGATTGAACAGGGAGAAAAAGTATATCTGAAAACACAGTTTTTTTCCTGATAATCATCCTTAAAAACAGCACACCATGATCTTCATTAGCTATGTCTTTTTTAAAAAGTGCGGTAAATATGACATAACTGTAACATGTTAATATGCTTCTTCTTGACTTTGCAGCACTCTCAATAATAACAACATCACTCGGCTGTCCGTGGCAAGTTTCAACCATATGCCCAAACTTAGGACATTGTAAGTAGTCCCACTGAAACTGGCTGCCATTTTTATCACTCCAGTATATTGGGTTTACCTCTATCAAGTTTTGTCAGTGGTCTGTAAATACATATACAGGCATGGAAAGCATAAGTTCAATTAAAAAATTGTCCAAGTACTGTGAGGATCACAAGCGTGAAGTCTGTGTGTGCATATATGGTGGTTAGTTCTGAAAGGTAAAGCTAACAAGTGACCTCAAAGCTGATACTTAGGGCTCAGGAGATAAGTAGTTGCACTCTTTTCCATCGCCTTTTTTAGGATGTAGGATGAATAAGTCTATGAAAATGGTTTCATGGCCTTTTCCCAGCTGGATTTTCCATCGTGTTGTATTCAGTCACAGAAAAGTTCACCTTCTAACAAAAAAGATGAGGGCAGGGGGGATTCTCTTTTATATGTTACAGCTGTATAGAGAAAGAAATTGATGTAGTTTGAAAGTCAAAAATTTGTTTTACTTTGAGCTATTGAATGGGTCACATTTCATTTAGGAACATGGAAGAATCTTTGATTGTCTGTCAGATGTGATAAATGGGAAATCTTTATGCTCTTATTACTGTACTGCTAGCAGACCTAATTAAACTAAGCTGGCTCTCCAACATTCTTTGTAACATAAAATTATAGCATCATCCGGTAGTGCTATTATAATTAAAGTTGTGTCAGCATTTACAATAAGGTCCCCATTTTTAGAGGTTATGACTTTCACAGAAGAATTCAGGCTTCTAAAACAGTGAGTGTTTGTGCAAGTGATACAATTTGCAGTTATTTCTTCTGTGTATTTATACTGAACTAAGAACAAATGTATATTGTATTGAGTGGCAAAACCAGAATATATCAAGGTTTAGTCCTGAGACTCTCTTTCAAACGGATTTTCCACTGAAGCTGGAATCAAAAATGAATGGGATGTTTCTATCAGAGTTCAAGAGCAGCTCTTACTGTTAAAGAATTACTTTTACAAATAGCCTGTCCATTTCCTTTTACGCATGTTGGGTTGCAGAACTGTTTTGAAATCAGCAGCACTACTCACTTAAGTTAACATACCTTTCATAACTGAAGAAACTTCATGCAGGTGAATATTTCTGTTGATTTCTTAACAGAATTGTAACTATTCTTGCTTGGATAAATACAAGAGTACTTAAATACTGCTGACCATGGGCTTTTGGTGGCCTCAGTTATATTTTGGCAATAGAATTTAATTCAGTTCTTTCAGGTCTGAGAATTGAAAATATGAATATCTGTGCCTCTTTCAAACCTTCAAATACACTTTCTATTCCGAACTACAAATCACAGTGAATCAAATTAGTAACATTTACACTTTTTTGGTGGGATATTTCATCTTTTGAAAATTTATTTTGGAAACAAAAGAAAATGGACATACAGAGTCCTAGATTATGGCTACAACATCACATTTGCAGTCAGAATACGTTTGTATAACAGTATTGATTTCAACGGCATTAGTTCTAATTTGCAATGGTGTTCTTGCCTGCAGCTGGCCACAGATTGTGCTGAATGAGTGTGCTGTATTTTGAGCTATATTTGCAAGGCACCCACCCAAGAATTAGTACAGGAAAATACATTGCCTTTTATTTCTTTAATTTTCTAATTTAGAAAGGGGGAATGTGAGTTATTAAAATCTTTTTATGTTGGTTTCACATTTCATGTTGCTTTACAGGTTTCTTTTTAATGGATTAATTAGACCCCCTTGTCTAAATTCTGGTTTTCTTGCACTTTCTTTCCAGTTATTTAGTTAGGATTGAGTACATCAGCTAAAGAGGACCAAAATGACATTACTCTGTTACGGATGATTTAGACTAAGGATTTGATTTATAGCTGTGGACATCCTTTTCTGTAGTTTGAGAAAAAGTAAGAGCCAGAGAAAAGTAATTCACCTAATTTAGTGAATACATTTGTCTGATATTTTGTCAATGGTAAAGTGCTTTTTGCCACTTGGCAAGGAGCCATGGTCTTGCACTGGACCCTGCCAAGAGAGAGGCGATTTACTTAATTTCATTGCTTGCTGCCATTTGGTCTTTTAATTTCAGGCATTGCTTAGAACATAGGTCCTTAGGAGCCAAAAGCAGCTAATCCCCTTTCTGTGATTAAACAAAAAGAGAGGAAAGCAGAAAGGGATGTGAAAGAAGGTGGTTTATATTGAGTTATTACTCTGTCTTGTTCAGCAGAAAATGAATCCGACCTGTTAAAGGGATTTTGCAGGCTGTTTCTATAGAGACTAATAATAACCAGACTTACAGATAGATCTAATTGGAAACCAAATCTTTTAACTCTTTTTTCTGACAATATATTATCACTATAGGGCAATTTACTTGAGACATTTTTGTGTTATTCACTATTTGGACTAGAGTCCCACAGCAGCTTTCAAGATCTTGTATTTCTTCTTTCTTTTAGACAACAGAAAAGAAACTACAGATAGGTGTCTTTATTAGGTAGCCTTCTTTTTTCTTGCAATTACTTAGACCACAAATAAAAAGTAATTTTGCTGTTTGTACAGTTCTATTTATTATCATTTAACGCCCAGACTTGCAATGAGAGATGTGAAAAATTGCTTTGTCATCAAAAATTTTTATCAATACATTGGCGTAGTTGCTTGCTAAAGGGTGGTGCTGGGCAAGTTGGTTGTTTTTCTGTTTGTTCTCCCTAATTTAAAGGTATTTACATACTTCATTCCATGCAGTCGTCTTCACTCCAACAACCTCTACTGTGATTGCCATCTGGCCTGGCTGTCCGACTGGCTGCGGCAGCGGCCACGGGTTGGCCTCTACACCCAGTGCATGGGGCCATCCCACCTCCGGGGACACAATGTAGCTGAGGTCCAAAAACGGGAGTTTGTCTGCAGCGGTAAGGGAAGCAGATTCACTCACCAAGCCCAGTTTTAAAACACACCTGCCGACAGCTCAGCTGTGATTGCTAGTGCTGCATGTTAACTTCTGCTAGCTTTTGCATAATCCAAGCTTTAATGTTTATTAAAAACTAAGCTGATCAGTTTTATTACTATTTGTATCTTGTGTAGGTGTGCTTCTGGCCTTACAAATTTAGTGTGAATGCTGCATTCACACAGATTATATAGCCTCCTAAAAGTATAATCATGGGGAAGAGATGTGGGATATGAAATAGAAGGTTCACTGGCTGAAAACATAAGGCCTTTAGTAATAAGGAGTCATTCTTTTTTTAACTTTATAAGTTGTTGCCTTTTCTTCTTGTTATTTTCTGCAGTTTGAATGATATTCTGAATCCCTAAGTAACTTTCTGAATGATATTGGTATGCTTTAATGCATGAGGTTATTTTCTGATATGAAATAATGAAATGACTAACAGTTCGTTACTAATCACATTTTCTCTGTTCAATTTTTTTCCCTTTGTTCATATCTTCTAGATGAGGAAGAAGGCAAGTTTATCTTTCTTATTTAAATATTTTTAGACTCAGATTGAAAAATTTTCTGTAAACTTTATCTACTGTTTCAAGTTTCCTCAAAAATATTAGAAAACAGCTGGAATATAGCTATCTGGCTTGTCAGTGATTCAACAGGTTGTTTCTACTAGTTGCTTTTCTGCAGACTCCCAGAAGCCTATTGCCAAATACGCAAAAATTTGCACAGATCTGTGCTTTTAACATAGTTCTATAGCGAGCACAATGTTTTGTCTTTAAACAACCCCTGACAGTGTAATTCACTGTCATCATCACATTGCAAATGCTAACAGTATTCTTACCATTAATTCTGCCTTTATGTACACTTAAAAGGGTTCCTAACAAGATCACTTCATATCTTTTATTTGTAAATGTGGAGCCCAAGTGTCAAGAACAGTTTTATAGTATGTTCATTATAATGCTGATTTTTAGGAAGGGGGATAACCATGTTTCCTCCCTGGATTTTTGTTTAATAAAGGCAGGTGAAATGTTTCTTGCCTGTTAGTATAAGAAGAGTAGTATGTGTCATTAGTTTTGGCAGCTGTTTGTACTTTTGTAACACATACATAAATGTGAAATCAAATTATTATACTGTAAACTACTATCTCATAGAATCAGTTTGGGTTGGAAGAGACCTTAAAGATCATCTAATTCCACACCCCCTGCCATGGGCAGGGACACCTTCCACTAGACCAAGTTGCTTAAAGCCCCATCCAGCCTGGCCCTAAAAGACTAACTTTTTTAGTAATTTAGAACTTGAGAAGCTGTTATTTGGAGTTGTAAGTAAGAACAGCACTGGCTGCAACTTACATTATCAATGTACCCTTGATGTATATATGACATCAAATATAGTGAGAGCGATCTTAGATTCAGTTGTGGTTACATGGTCAAGAAAGTTTTCTTTTCCCTGACAATTTCAAAACAGTCTCTAGCTTTTTTACCTTAATAAAAAAAGAAAAAGAGGGTTTCTTGCCTTTTTCATCCATTTGTGACTTTCTGTATCATTTCAAAATAACAATTCTGTATCATTAAATCAATACAAGAATAAGTGCATTAGTATATTATGTGTAATCTATTTTCAAGAAAAGATAGTAAGTTGTTTACTTTCTAAAACATAAGTATGAAGTTACTATGTTTAAGTGCCATTACAAATGGTGAGTTTAACATATAGCACAAGAACTTGGGCTGGGAGAAAGTTGTGTAAATTAGCCACCTGAATTAGTAAGAATGGTAAATTATGGGAGGAAGAAGCCTGCTGAGCTAACACAGAGAGTGACAGTATGAACTGAGAAGTCAAAGCTTTTATTTATTTTTGTGTAAGTGAACGTAAATGTCTTAACTCCAAAATTGTCTGTAAGTGATATATCTCAAGAACTATACTCAAATAAGTATTTACAGAACAGAACATAACTACAGGACTTCTTCAATTTTTTGTAGCAAAGTTCATTCATTTCTGTTGGCATGCATTTTTAATACTACATGAAATTCTGAAAACTAAGTAAATCATTAATTAGTTTTTAAAAACCCGGAATAAATAAAACATACATGACAAATGGATCATAGTTAGCCTTTAACAAGATGATTTTGAATGTGAGTTGCAAAAGAAGTAATGATGTAATGCAAGCCCGGTAGCTGAGCCTTTGTCTTTTATCTCTCAGTATTGTATCAATATGTTGCTATTAACTGGGTATTTAAATTAATGCATTTCAAAAGTATTGATAGGCTACAATGTTTATTCTAGAAATTCTGACTTAAATTTTCAAGGAAGTATAAAATGGGATGTTTTACTGTTGAAGTAAACTGAAATACTTTTTGATGGTATTGTGCAATTTTAGGAGAAACTCTTTTCCTTTGCAGGTCACCAGTCCTTCATGGCTCCGTCCTGCAGTGTCTTGCATTGCCCTACTGCATGCACCTGTAGTAACAACATTGTGGACTGTCGTGGGAAAGGCCTTACTGAGATCCCAACAAACCTTCCAGAAACCATTACTGAAATGTACGTAATCTGACTTTTTTTGGATGAATTTGCAGAAATCAGGCTTTTCCTATGTATTCCTTTTTGTTGTTTATATAAAGTAGTGCATTCTGTAGGATGAAAATTTTGGAATACACATTCAAATTCAGATATCAAAGGAATATGAAGGTATATGAAAATATTTAAGACCTTTATGTTCTCTTATGAGGTAGTTTTGTATGTACTACTCACAAGCCATAGTTAACACTGCATTCTGACTTGGTTTAAAAAAAGTTAGGGAATACTTGCTTTTCTGCAAGTGAGTGGATTTTTCACTGCAGGCTTATAAACTCCGTTGCCTTCAGTGTTGCTCACTGTGCTGGTTTTGGCTGGGGTAGATTTAAGTTTCTTCATAGTAGCTGGTACAGGGCCATGCTTGGGATTTATGCTGCAAACAGTGTTAATAATAAAGGAATGTTTTAGTTACTGTTAAGCAGTGCTTACACAGAGTCAAGGCCTTTTCTGCTCCTCACCCCACCCCGCCAGCAATTATGCTGGGGATGCAAGGAGTTGGGAGGGGACACAGCCAGGACAGCTGACCCCAACTAACCCAAGGGATATCCTATACCATATGATGTCATGCTCAGCATTTAAAGCTGGGGGAAGAAGAAGAAAGGAGGGGATGTTGGGAGTATGCCATTTTTATTCCCAAGTAACCATTGTCTGTGACAGAGCCCTGCTTTCCTGGAGATGGTTGAATCCCAGCCCATGGGAAGTGGTGAACAAATTCCTTGTGTTGCTTTGCTTGTGTGCACAGCTTTTGCTTTACCTGTTGAACTGCCTTTATCTCAACCCACAAGGTTTCTCACTTTACCCTTCTGATTCTATCCTCCATCCCATTGGTGGGGTTGTGAGTGAGCAGCTGTGTGGAGTTGAGTTGCTGGCTGGGGTTAAACAATGACACTTTGACAGTTGCTTTCAGTCACTTTATTCATCAGACTTGCTATTAGAGAAGCATATTTTTGCATGAAAGATGAACAACATATACTGCCTATAATTAGTATTCTGCTAAAGCAGTATTAAAGGAATGTTTTAGTTACTGTTAAGCAGTGCTTACACAGAGTCAAGGCCTTTTCTGCTCCTCACCCCACCCCGCCAGCAATTATGCTGGGGATGCAAGGAGTTGGGAGGGGACACAGCCAGGACAGCTGACCCCAACTAACCCAAGGGATATCCTATACCATATGATGTCATGCTCAGCATTTAAAGCTGGGGGAAGAAGAAGAAAGGAGGGGATGTTGGGAGTATGCCATTTTTATTCCCAAGTAACCATTGTCTGTGACAGAGCCCTGCTTTCCTGGAGATGGTTGAATCCCAGCCCATGGGAAGTGGTGAACAAATTCCTTGTGTTGCTTTGCTTGTGTGCACAGCTTTTGCTTTACCTGTTGAACTGCCTTTATCTCAACCCACAAGGTTTCTCACTTTACCCTTCTGATTCTATCCTCCATCCCATTGGTGGGGTTGTGAGTGAGCAGCTGTGTGGAGTTGAGTTGCTGGCTGGGGTTAAACAATGACACTTTGACAGTTGCTTTCAGTCACTTTATTCATCAGACTTGCTATTAGAGAAGCATATTTTTGCATGAAAGATGAACAACATATACTGCCTATAATTAGTATTCTGCTAAAGCAGTATTCTCAGAGGGTAGTCTGGGAAGGCAAAACTGAGGTGGTTGAATGGGATCTGTGGTATAGTTGTCATGTTGATATCATGTACTTGTGGATAAAAGAGCATGCATGCTATTAAGGTTGTGTGACTTGCCATATAAAGCAGAAAAGTCTACAAAAAGTACAACCATGTCCTGAGCACAGAGCCAGGTCATAGCGAAGGTGCTATAGGGCCTGCAGGCTGCAAGGACAATGTGGCTGAGAGTTGTGAGGGCACAGAAGGAAAGTTACTGTCACATTGTCTTCTTTGAAAGGGATAAATGAAAGCAGAAGGTGAGCTTGCTGAAGAGATGGGCAGGGACTCATCAACATGAGCATTTTTCTACACTGGGGATGGCGGAAGCTGTGTTTTGGAAGGGAAGCGAGGAGTTCCCTTTAGGGAGATAGTGGGAAAGTAGCTATGCCAACAGCCTGTAAGGAGGGTCAGGCTAGAAGTAAATGAGTTGGAGAGAGTATTCAGAATAAAAAGCTTGTAAGTACCTTGATGATATGATACAGATAAGGGAGGTGAGGGAAACAGATACTTGAAGTGAAAGGGAAGAGATTTCCAGAACATATATTCTTTTGTATGTAAGATCTTTTTGAAAGTTTAAGAATGAGCATCCACAATGAAATTTTAAGAAATAAAGTGCAGTTTAAGAATTTGTAGACAATCACATGGTTTGTTGATTTCTGACCTGTGTTTTGAACTTCACAGAATTGGAACTACTGTGGTTTCTTCTTAGGATGTGAATAATAATCACATTTGTCTCATCTTCATTATTACTGCTGTTAAGACTGACCTGGCTGACCTTACCTGACCTAATTCAGTCATTCTGCTATATAATACAAACACTTCTGCCTTTCACCTCTCTCAGAAAAATTCCTCTGCTTGCAAATAAAATGACTACTTAAGAAAATCCCTGCATAGTGCCTGGGAAGGCTGCACAGACTATTTTCATTTTTTCATGAGTTGTATACTGGCTTTTTTACTTGCATGTACATCTGTGTGCATAAAAAAGGAGGAAAAATATTGCAAGAAAGAATGTCTCAAATGTTTCCCACTGTATTTCTTCTGCTAACGCTGGAGCTTACCACTGAATGAATAGTGATTACAGACACTGGAAGACTGGCTTCTGTATCAGTTTTAGACCTACATAGTTTACTGGGGGTACATGAAGTTAACATCTGTACTACCCTGAGAAATTTGGTACTAGGGATTGCAAGGGTGTTCCTGAATCTGTATTTTAAGGGTCATCACTCCCAAAGAAGTGATACAATGTGGAAGCTGCAAATTAACTTTGAATCCACTGTCAAAAGAAATGCACATGAAGTGAAAAGCAAATGGAAATTCACAGAATAAGATTGTGCTTTCTATTAATCTGTTCACTATACTTTCTATGTAAGAAATGCTGCTGGGTTCTAAGCATGGACTGGTATAACCTTCAGCAATTTACTGGTCTGGAGAGTAAAAGCAACCACACAACAATGCCTCCAGTATTTTGTTAAGAAATTTAACAGATTGCAAACTGAGGCTCAATACTTCCTGCTAGCTTTCAAACCCCAGAGTGAGGCCTTTTTGCATTCTGAGATCCACAATCATTAATATAGATAAATGTGTATGTATTTGCTCTATAAATGTGTACAGTATATACACTGTGCTTTAATGTATATAGTTTATAGTTGTATAGAGTAAACTATCTGTTATCTCTGTGTATTGTATCTAGTTTGTAAGTTCTGGCCAAATATTATGCAGATCACAGTATTTTGCAGTTAAATAGCACCATTGATGCCGTAAGACATATGAACAGAGCAATAGAAAGCCAAACTTTATTAATTATTTCATATTGAACAGATACATACAAGTGAATGCCAGTGTAATGAGAAAACTGAACATTATCATCGTACTTCATTGACAGGAACATTTGATAAATCCATAATACTTTCAAATCCCCTTACTCTGGACTAGTTGCTCTGCCCTAAGATGTTGTCACATGTTTATAAGCTGTATTTGTAGAATCCAGTGCTGAGCATGTCATGTTATACATCAAGCAACTTCACGATCCACAAACACCTCTGGTACCTTTTCTGCCTTTTGACTTTTCTCTGTTGTACTTCATGTGAATAACCTTTTCCTGTGAGGCTGACATGAAACTTTATTGTCAGCCATCCATTATGGAGTTGCTTAAAATTTGAGAACTTATTTTTGTTACATTTCATTCTTTCATCCGTTTCAGCCTCTTATTTCGCATAGTAGGTTAGTCTTAATAAGAATACAATCCATGTTTTGGTTTTGAAGGTACATAATAACTTTCTTTTTTTTTGAGGTTCTTCTGAAGTTTACCTTCAATGCATGCTCATGGTTTTGTGATGTTTTGCCATATTCTCCATCCATTTCTTCCATCCTTCTCTCAATGGAAAGCCTAACTTCCTTGGCCAACTCCTTGGTACCCTATGAAGCACTGATTTATTTTTGTCCAACACAAACTTCCTTTAAATAAAATGTTGTCTGATCTGTTTCTAAATGAAAATACTTCGTATTCATTACATTGTCAGTCCATCTGAGACAATGCTGCATAAAATCTAAGTGGTATAAATCACATTGTTGTTCTCTGTCCTTCTGGTGTATATAAGTAAACTGCAGGTTTAAAGTGTATGTTGACAATTTCATGCCTTTCTTTACCCCCATGGGGTTGATAAATTAACTTGCATCTAAATAAGGTGATAAAACCCCCTTTAAATGTAATGTTGAATTTCTTAAGTATTAAACACTGACAGTTTCAATTGAGTAAAATTTTGCATGTTAAAACTCTGAGTTAGATCTTTGGAGTAAAGAAGAGGCTTTCTATTTAGTGTCTTATACTGATGGTGTGACTCTGCTGCACAGCTGGTTTGGGATGACATTTTAAGACAGTAGAAGCTGTCTTCTGTGCTGATGGCTACTGCTTCTGTAGCAAAGCTGGCAAGGAGACTATGTGCTTGCACGGCACTGCAGCCCCCCTTTCTCTGAGTTTGATGTGATAGCCTAAACCATTGAGAAACATGATTTTGCACTGGAAGCTGAAGTGGTTGAGGAATGAGCAGGCATTCTGTGTTGGTGGGAGCTAGAGAAGGCAGAACCAGTTCCCAAAATGCTGTTTTGTTCCAGTGCTCTGGATGTACGGGTGACTGTGAGGGTATTGCTGGGACAGTTTTGTCATATTGCTCTGTCTGACTTCTCAATTGGTACAAAAGTCAGTTGGCTAAAACTAGCAATTTCCGTTGCATGAAGTCAATTAGCAGTCAACGCATTGTCAGCCAAATGCCTCTTGGGAAGATGCCTTCAGTAACAGGACTGC